GTATGGACTAAGTTTACCACAGACTTCTCTGACAAACCCCTCATTGTTTGCAAGAATTGAGTCCCATGTGGAATCTTCAAATATAGAACTGACCTCTCACTCCCCTTTAGTCCAATATACCATTTTGAAGCTTTGCTCAGTAACAGTTGTCTCATGAGGTTTAATTTTTCCTTTAAACATCAGTCTGAATATGTTACAGAAGTGCTTGTAGATTGTGTTTTTGGTTGACAACATCATAGGATCAACATCAAAATCCTAGTTGCAATCTGCCTTATACCTTTCTGTAACCAATGCTTTTCAGTAAAAATGGAATTTGCTCAACTGTTTGTAAACTAACATCAACTGAGACAGTGACCTTATTTACAGTTTTATTAGCTTTCAAAAATGCACCACTTTGTTGTACACTGATGAGACTCTCAGCACAAGTACACCTTCAAATATGAGAATTTATAACATTCTACAGGATTATTTTTTAATTTTACCAATGACTAACCCTAAAAATATAAGAATGTATTTTTGGTTGAGTACTACAGAGCAAAAAGAGAATCCCAGGAATTGTCAGCGATGTCTCCTGTCTCGCTCTCTGGAATGTTTGGGTGAGTGGCTGTGATGGTGAGCTTTGTGCTTGTCTCTGGAGCGAGACCGGGAGCGTTGTCTGTCTCCCCTGTCTCTGTGACCATCCTCCTGCATGCAAAAATGTAAAACTTTAACTGCTGTCCTATCCCACTCGTCTGTTTCTGTCCACAGAAAAGGAAATCATGGGGACTAGACAGGTAGTGGTCAGGTTTATCATTCATTCGATTTTTTAGAAGGGGAAAAAAAAAAAAAACGCACAATGGTATCGTTGCCCACTTACCCGATGTCTTTTGGACTTTTTCTTGTGCTTCTCTTCAGAGCGATGGTGGTGCCTTCTCTCTTTTTTCGCATGCCCCTCACCTGCCTCATCCTCATCCAGCAGAAGGTCATACTTTGAACTGTGGGATATGTTAAGTAAAACCTGCATATTTGCAACATGTGTAATAGTAACAGTCAGTGCCCACAAGGATACTCATGTCTGGGCTGGTTCTTAAGAGCCAGTTTGGATCGGGTTTCCAAATCTTTCTCGTAGGCCTTGAAATCATCTTTGGTGTACTTCCCACCTTAAACACACAGAACAGTGAACAGAGCTCTAGGCAAACGGGAAGAAAAAAGCGACTCAAGAAAACCTTTTCCTTTCCATTGAATCTTTGCAACGGACTGGCTGAAGTCCACATGAATACGCCGATCATCAATCAACACGTTGTCCATTTTAAAGTATGCCTTTTCACAATCCTCTTGCTGTTAGTGACAAAAACAGACAGTGAATAATAATGTATACAATAACAAATGAAGATATGAAGTCCATTCATCATTCCATTTACGTGATCAGGTAAAACAAAGACCTGATAATAAGAATTGGCTGAGAAAAGGAATTGGGTCTGGAAATAGTAATAATCATTATTGGGGGATTTTACAAAATAAATCATATGCATAAAAGACATTTTGTAACAAAGACTGAAGTTCCGAAATCAAAACGGCAAAACTGAATAAACAATTCTCTTTACCCTAGAAGCCTTCAATCACGATATTTCAACCTTTATTTGGTCAAAAATGTGGTTGAAAAATCTCTGAGTACTATAGAAATAATCAGATGACTTGCTGACTAATCACAAAAATAACTGCTGATCACTAAAATAAACATTAGCTTATTCATTTATTTGTGTGCTCTCCCTGGATCCACCAGACATCAAAATATATTGATATTTTGGCACCAACAACTATCCTCTTGTTCAGAGGCATCCACCAGATCTCTGTTGTGGTCCTTAAGATGATTTGCAATCTTAGGCTGGATAGAGGGCTGAACAGAAGTGACGTGGGGTGGTATTTGACTAAGTCAATTTGTGTTATGATTATGATCTGTCGTTCATATTGTAATAGATTACCATTCTTCTAGTATTTGAACAGCTGTATGAAATCAAAATTCCAGAAAGAAGTTAAGTTAATGTTACAGCATAAAAACACTTTACATTTAGGTTTGCTTGTATAATATAGTATATGGAATTGAAAATTTAAATGACTTATTTTTGCATCCAAAATGGTAATTGTTTTTAGTTCTTACAATAATATTGTTATTTGAAAAAACATGATAATTGATTAACTGATTTATCTTGAAATATCTAGTCAAGTTTTTATTATTAATATGGGGACAGAACTTACCCTTTCAAATTCAATAAAAGCATAACAAAGAGAATCTCCTGTTTTAAAGTCTCTGATGATCTCACAGCTACAAAAAAGAAAACAGAGTCAACTCTAAAGCAGTGTGGTGTGCCATGTTGTGTGAATAAGCTGAGCTGTTCCCATTTAGAGGCACAAGGTAGATCTTCAGTAAACACATACTTGCTAGATTTTAGGAAAACTTTTAAATTTTACCTTTTAATGGTGCCAAAACGTGAGAAGATAATCTCTAAATCCTCATCGGTAGTGACAGGATTGAGCTTGCAAACAAACAGGACATTTTCTGGGGGTTTTATGTCTGCGTCTGGAAGGTCACCCACCTGCACAGACAAGGCACTGAACAGATGGAGGCTGCACCACATCAATTACAACCAATCCTTTCTTAGAAACGATCCTCTCACCATCTCTAGCAGAATGGCCTGAGTCTTTGCCTCCTTCTCCTTCAATCTCTCCTCCAACTCTTCCACTGCTTTTCCATCCTCCTCATCAATCACTTCATCAGCACCAATCCGTCCACTCTGCACAAGTAAGACTTTGGTTATTAAGTCACCTTTGTTGTAAGTTAAATGGCCTATTGCAACTGAGAATAAGAGTATTATGTTAGCTGGGAAGATGGAAAAGAAATGAATATCAATGTTTTGAGCATTTCAGTAACTACTATTAGAAGATATATCATCAATTCAACAGAAATGGTCCTTTAAATGTATTAAAGGCTTTATATTACACAAAACTTACTCTTGTGAGCTTTAAGTAATGTTATAATGTTGTTATCTCATCAAAAACATACCTGGAGTTTCTGTTTGTTTGTGTTTCATTTCATTTACACATGTTTGAACAATCCTGCCTTTACATCTCCAAAGCTCTAAATGCTCTGTTTCACCTTGTCATGTAGATGTACTTTTCAGGTTAACCACAACCTTTCACCTTTAGCTCAGTAGATAGGCAATTCCAGGGCTGAAATCATCCAAATCATTCTCGTGAAGTTTTATGAAGTTTAAAAACATACTGGAGCACTGTATTACCACATGGCTTCACAAGGTGGAACAGAGTGTTTTCTGTTTGAGAGAAGAACTTCAACATGTAGGGTTTGTGTGTGCAAATGAAACAAATACAACTCTGGGTATGTTTTTTTTTTTATGAGGAAACATTATTGTAACATATTTGAAGAGTCAGTGTATAAACAGACAGTATGTGTAGACACAGACATGAAGTAGCATACTCACGTCTAACTGCTCTTTGGTGGGTTCTGGAGACCGATCCGGCACTGGCAAGCCAGCAGGATCATCAAAGGGGTCATCAAGGATAACTGTGTGGTTTATTCTGCATTTTATAAAATGTTATTGACAAGAAAAGATACTTAAGACTTTGTTAAACAATAATTTCCATACAACTGGGGGAAACTGATCTGAAGTGAGGAGACACTCACCTGATGTCCTGAAATGGCACAAAATCTTTATCCACGAATGTCTCATTAATCTTAGCCAACACATCCAGTCCTTCTGTCACTTCCCCAAACACTGTGTGTACTCCATCCAGATAGTCCAAGTTCTCCCCACTGGTGATAAGAAACTACACACAGGCACATAGCTCAACTCAAAAATAGCCTTCTCATCTTGTTTATTTTATTAAAAACTTTTACACATTGTTAGGAGTTGTAGTCCTTAGTGTTGGCACTGGTACCTGGGAACCATGCTGCCCACTTCCATTGTTCACCATCGAGACCGTGCCTTTCTTCTTGTGCTTGATCCGAGGGGTCTTTTCTGCATCAAAAAAGCGTGCCTGGTCCCCATAGAGCTTGCTGAGACAGAGGAAGAGTTAATATACACTGCATAGAAGACAGCCTGGCAAAGTGCAAATGTATTCAAAGCTTACCTGTACACTGACTCACCCCCTCGGCCTGTCCCCGTGGGGTCTCCTGTTTGAACAACAAAGTCTCTCTAAAATGGAAGAAGAGCATATACATTACACAGATATTACACATTTCAAGTAAATTATAGGAAGTTTCTACATTCAGTTACCTGCACATTGTGGATGAGGCAGTAATTGTAGTATTTAATCTTGCATAATTTCAGAAAGTTTAAACATGCTGTTGAAAAACAAAAACAAAATTAATATGACCAACTTTCAAAACACAAAATCAAGGTATTTTTTGCATGAGAACTTTGTATTTGATAAAAACAGACACCTTTTAAAGGAACAATTGGATGCTAATTCTAATTGCGGGTCCAAAGCCATGATGATGCAAAAACAATTAATAATAATAATAATTTAGGTATTTCCGAGATTCCACTGACCCACCAAGAATTCAAGGTGTGTTCTAGTTTTCAGATGCATCTAACGCTGATGCGCAAATTGTCTGACATCTATAAATTGTAGAATTGGAGCAGGCAAAAGTAACTATTATACATATTACATACTATTAAAATCTGTGGTGGTGGCAGCGTTGAAATCATTCTATGTAATGCACAGGCACACGGCTAACTGCTAGCCTATTTCTTATTATTTGGGTTATTGTAGATAGTATTTAGAAAAGAGTACACTAAGCGCATTATCGGTGTAATTAAAAAAAAAATACAAGGTTACCCTTTGGTCTCTCTTCTGTAAACAAATCAATAACAATATCTCCCAAAGTTGTTTCAAGAAGCACCGCCATGCTGCCCTGATATCTCGCGATAACTGTGTGCGTTTGTGCGAGAGGACGTGCTCGTTCAACGGGCTGACGTTGCCCAATGAAAACAACCCGGACAGATTTAAACCATAGACTGTATGATTTAAACAGAACCAGTCCATCCCACAGGCTATGGTCAAGCCCAGACTTTTTAATAATCAGTCCATGGATATACCCAACCTGCATTATTTAGGATTTATGTGACTGTCAGGATTAATTTAAAACATCATGGCAGAAGACTCGGCTGTTAAAGTATGTGTTAGAGTCCGTCCACTTATTGAGAGGTAAGTGTAAACACTGGTGGAGTTAGCTAAGCAAGTATCAAGTTGGCGATAACGTAAACTTAGCTAAGTTGTTGTCTTTTTAGAGCTAAATAAACGTACAGTGTTGGCGTTGTAGATGTGTTGTGTGAAAATGTAATCTTAAAATATTTTTGTATCGCTGTTAACCTGTTTGATTAACTCTGCTACTGATTTTACTGGTCAACAAATGGCGGTTTCTGGGTTTTCGTGCTCTGTGTGGGAGTGTAACATTACTGTAGCAGTTCGTGTTCTTGTAATTACCCTACAGTTACACTACGACATTATATGTCTTAATAATGCATGTTTGTATATATCCTTTAATAATTGACCAGTCCTTACATACTACGCCCTACAGGGAGGAGAATGCAGCTTCTGAAAACGCACAGCAACCACAACTTTTTTGGAGAGCTGACAATAATTCAGTTCATCAGATCAATGAAGGGGCTTCAGTTAAAAGTTTCAGTTTTGGTATGTTTTTTACATAATAAATAATAGTAATGACAACATCTACATAAATGTGGTGCATTTTTTAATAACAGTGTTTATTTTTAGACCATGTTTTTACTGCTCATGAAACAACAGATACACTTTACCAGACAATTGCAAAACCTCTGGTGGTATCTACTGTTCAAGGATACAATGGTGCGCATCTAACCTTCATCATATTGTAAAATGTACTCAACTGTTATGGCAGCTAAACTTTTGTGATTACAGGGACAATATTCGCATATGGGCAAACTTCATCTGGAAAGACCTTTACCATGATGGGATGTGATAAAACTCCTGGAGTCATCCCTTTGGCTGTTGAGGATGTCTTTCAGACTATTCAAAATGTGAGTCTGATATTAAGTTATCCTGTTTTCATTGGTTTGTACTTTGTTCATACGAATAAGGATTTATCTGCTGCTGTCAGTGTCCGAAAAAAGAATTTCTTCTCCGTGTGTCCTACATGGAAATCTACAACGAGACTGTGAGTGATTTGCTGGTTGATAGCTGGAAGAGGAAGCCCCTGGAGGTCAGAGAGACTCTTAATGTAAGTAAATGTGATTATGCTACAGATTATCTAGTCACGTATTTTTATAATTTTGGGTGTTCACAAATAGGAACTGAGAAAAAAATAATTATACACATTCAGCAATACCCAATTTAAGATGATCAAAAGAATACTTTACTCTTGCAATTCTATGAAGTTGACTCTGTAGCTGACTGTGTAACTGGTATTTAGTTCTAAATTATAAATCAACACAAATCTGCAATCTGATTGTATTATTCATTTGGGCAACAGTGCTCATCTGAACACAGGCAGTTCCAATCCCACTTCTGGCATACACATTATTGATAGAGTGGTCAGCTTTAAAACAGCTAAGTACGACCATAATTTAATAAAGCTGACCTACGCCATACCAAGGGGACTGATTATCCAAGGCACATTACTTTCATCAGTTATATGAGTACACACAGAACACAGAAAAGAGCTTTTGTAAAAAGTAAATTGGTTCCAAACTGAGGAAATATGTTTTTTTTAATAATCTGGCAGCCTCATCAGAGATTTTCATTTGAGATTTGATATGTCCTATTAGTCCATATTACTCATTGAGTGATTTATTTTTCCTGTTGACTGCTGTTGTTGTCTGCTATCATAGATGCTGATGATTTATTAGTGACCTAGACTGGATACGTCTAAACCTTTGTTGTGTTGATGTGTTACTATACCCATCTTGTTTCATGCAGAAAAACATATATGTGGCTGACCTTACAGAGGAACTTGTAACTAGTCCTGCCCAAGCTTTGCACTGGATAAGACTTGGAGAAAGTAAGCTCCTTAATGGTTCACGTCTTAAACAAATAATGCCTATGATTCAAATGCTGTCTCTGTCTCTGTAGAAAATCGCCATTATGGGAAGACCAAAATGAACCAGCGCAGTAGTCGTTCACACACTATTTTCCGAATGGTTAGTAATATTTGAATGAGAATGCTCGAAGTATTTGTATGACATTTTCACCAGTTGCACCTTTTTTTTGGATACACAGATTTTGGAAAGCCGAGAGAGAAGTGACAGTGAAAATGCAGATGGTGCTATTATTGTGTCTCATTTGGTGAGGGTTTTTTTTCCTCAACTTTTGAAAATTATTCTTTGTTTTGAACATTATAATTAACAGTTTGTTTATTTCAGAATTTAGTTGACTTGGCAGGTTCTGAGAGAGCAAGTCAAACTGGAGCTGAAGGTAAGAGTGTCTTGGGCTGTTTTCTGCTAACACACTCTAATAATCATAATAATATCATCATAATAATAGTCACAATCAGTTTTATATAGCACTTTAAAGAGCATACACTCTAGATTTCCCTGGCTTCATCTTAGATGTGTTCTGTGTTGATTTAGGTGCCCGCTTCAAAGAAGGTTGCAATATCAACCGAAGTCTTTTCACCCTCGGTCAAGTCATCAAGAAGCTAACGGATGAAAGTCAAAGGTCTGTTAACACTTGACCTTAGTTTTAACAGTGACTATTGCAATCCTCACACAATAAATACGTCTTACCGAAGCACAAATTATTCTATGTAAAGGTCATGTTTTTTCTTTCAGTGGATTTACAAACTACAGAGACAGTAAGCTGACACGTATCCTACAGAACTCTTTGGGCGGAAATGCCAAAACTGTCATCATTTGTACAATCACACCTGTTGCTTTTGATGAGACCCTCAGCACTTTGCAGGTAGAGTACTACCTTGAGCATTATTTTTCTTTTCTTTTTTTTTTTTTTTAGTTACTTTTGTTGCACAGCGTTTTATTCTGATCATAAACATCTGAATAAGATTATGGAAATTGTTTATTTGTAACATTATTTGCAACTCATAATATCTCAAATTTTAAATCACATCAGGGACATACATGTACAAATATTGTTAAACCAAAATTGGATGTTTGTTTGGCTTAAAAAGTGGATGATACTTAACATAATGATCCTCATTTATTCTCAAATATTCTCTTCCAGTTTGCCAGCACTGCAAAGAAGATGAAGAATGACCCGCATGTTACTGAAGTATCAGATGATGGAGCGCTGCTCAAAAGATACCGCAACGAAATTGTGGACCTCAAGCGTCGTCTTCTTGAGGTGAGTGATTTTTGACACTTTCTACCTCATATGACATCTAACGAATATTTGGTTGCTTTAGGTGTCATCTGTAACACAGACCACAGCCACAGAGAAAGAACTACTTTCTCAACTTCTACAAGAAAAGGACCAACTACAACGAGAGCAGGAGGACAGGATCAGAAATCTTACGAATTTGTTGGTTAGCTACAACCCCAACCAAGTGACTGGTCGACGGGTAGGTTAACATTTGAGAATGTCATACTGTTGTCCTATCTTAGTCTTGTGTATAAGGTTTTTCACAAGCAGGAACCCCCGGCCCCCCCCAGGGCTGTAGCCAGTAATGATCATCTGTCTGTAGGAATGTATATGTTTTATCTATGTAAATATTTGTAAATTTGAATTTGAAGTATTGATGAGCTGCTTCCTCTGCTGGTAATGGGTTGTTTGCGTTTGTTTCTTAGCTGTACATGTGCCATTTTATGAAGTACCTGCACACTACTACCTACTTGTAGCTTAGCTTGTAGCTAAATTTGGTCACAAATTTTGAGCTCTACTCTTTAACTTGACAAGGTGTATCTGCTTTAGGCACCCAAACGCAGGGTTACCTGGTCAGGTAAAATGATCAAACAGACAGCCTGCCCTAGTGCCGAATCTTCAATCAAAAAAAGGAAAGCAAACTACTCCTGTATTGAGCCAGGTGTGTCTGTTGTAGTATATATTTTTCCTTTACCTAAATGACTTGACTAAAGATTATGTTTTTTTTCTTTTCTAAATGTAAGATGAAGCTTTTTATCCTCATTGGGAGATTCTTGATGAGGCTCCAGAAGACCTGGATATCAGTCAAGCATCTATAACAATTCGCAGCCTTGGAGACAGGTTTTAAGCTTTTAAGCTTTTTGATTTGGAAATTACTTTTTTGTTATTCATTCCTTTTACTCTTGCATTCACCTTTAGTCCACAAGACTTTGGGCCACCAGAACATCTGCGAGAGTTGTCCCAGAAAATAGCCTCTCTTGAGCAACAACTGCAAATGGAGAGCAGCCAGAAAAGTGAGGCTCAGTCAAAATTGAAGGCACTGGACGACAGAGTGGCTGAGCTTGAACTTCAGCTACAGAGGGAGTTACAGCTCAAACAAGATGCCTCACAAATGCTAACTGTGGCACAACAACGAGAGGCAGAGCTGGATGTAGAACTAAGGGCACAGACTGAAGAGCAGATGCAGCTGGAGGAAAAGATGACCATTTTGCAATTGAGAATAGCTGACCTGGAGAAAGGACTTCAGGAACCTACAGACACTGAAGATATTGATCAGGTTTGAAGCTCATCTTAAAGCTTTTTTTTTTTTTTTTTTTTTTTTTTTTTTTTTTAAAACAATGCTTTCAAAACTGTTTTTTGATGACAAATGTTTCCACACAATGTTGTTTGTGTTAGGTAAAGAGACAATTTTCAGAAGCCATCCAACTGTGTGAAACTCTTGCATCAGAGAAGGTATTTACTCATTATCCCTTTAGCAGACTTTAGAATAAATGCAAAATATTCATTTGATGTATGTCAATAGGATGTATTGCTTACTGAACGCAATTACCTAAAAGAAGAACTAGGACTGTCACTGGAGCAAATTAAAACTCTTGAAAAAGAGAATGCTAATCTTTCACAAGAGCTTGAAGAGAAGCGAGAGACTGACGAATTTGAAAATCTAGAAGAGCAAATCAGGAAAGATAATGAGGTATTGACTGAAGTAAAAAATGCAATTTAATTCTTAAGCTTTGTTCCACAAAACTCTGGTTTATAACAATTACTGTCCACACTCAGGATAAACTACAGGAGGAAATATCAAAACTGAAGACAATTATTGAATCCTCAGAACAGAAACAAAAGGATTTACAGGTAAGATGGTGGCAAACAATCTAATTATTTCTTTCACTCTTATACTTTTTTCACTCACAGAATGAACTGGAAGCCTTGTCAGTTGAGCTAAAAAAGAAATGCGACTTTATCGAGGAACTTAAAATAATGGTTTGTGATTTTAATATACAAATCAATAAGGTTTGCAGCTGCTACCACAAGTATGGATAAAATGTCTTATGTGTGCAGAAAGGAAAAGATTTGGTTCAAGAGGTTACAATGCTTCAGCGCTCTCTAGATGATGCGGAAAAGATCAGCATGGACACGAAGAAGGAATGGGCTTGCCTGCGTTCTCAAAATATTGCTCTGGAAGAGAAAAATGTCAGAACAACAGTATTACTGAAATTTATGTGTGTGTAATAATTGCTAAATTTATAATATTTTCTCTCTTTAGGTAACGCTTGCTCTCAATAATGAAAAGAATGAAAATGAGGTGACCAGGCTGCATTCCCTGCTTGAGATGGAGAAATCCAAATTTAAGAAAATGCAATTTGATCTTCAGAAAGAGTTAAATATTGCATTTGAGGAGAATATTAAACTGTCCACTCTTCTAGATGGCAAAATACCTAAAAGTAGGTTGGATTGCATTAATATCATGATATTAAAATGTATGGATTTCTGATGGTTGCTCTTCTACAGATATGATTGACAATGTTGACCTTGAGAGGACTGTGACAAAGCTAAGGAAAGAACTGACTACTTGTCAGGAGGCCAGTGCAGACCTTCAGGTCAAGCTAGGAGAGCTACAGGAGCTTCCTGTCAAAGTGGCTGAACTGATGAAGCAGGTGAAAATCTACATAATTATATATAATACATCTACATAATTTGAAGTCTGCCTGCAACAATTTAATGTAATGTTGTTAATTAATATAATAGTTGTATTGTTTATTTGGTAGTTGATAGTTTGCAAAACAACAATCATCCCTAAGCTGTGTTAGAACAATTTGTGAATTCGAGACACTGTCCACAAGGATGCACGAGGTACTGAATCTTGTCAAAGTGAGACATGATCTCTGCAAATGACAGCACTGGGCAAGGTCTCATCAGGAAACACATAGTTCTTAAGCCAAGATTTTTGTAGTGTGTTGGTATTATCTGAGCGTGTATAAGTGTGACTGCTGTGCACAGTTAGTTATCTGTGGGGCGGTGTTCAATAAACTTATGTTATGAACCTGTGCTTGTTTTTATTTTTCAGCTTGAAGAAAGTCAATGTGTGCAGGTGTCCCTGACACAGGAGTTGCGTGAGATCCATAAGCTAAAGAGCGACTTGGAGGAGAAGCTTGCTGATAGTGAAGAAGCTAGAAGAACTGATGAAGACATTCAGAAAGAACTTGAAGAACAAGTATGTATATCTTTTCAGTTTAGTTTTTATTTGGCAGGAGCTGTATTTTTGAGACTCATTATTTCTTTTAGTGGCTGACAAGTGAGATTTTTAATAGTGAAATTGTTTTGTTTGAAGCTGGACAAACTGGCTGCAGAGCTGCAGAGTGTGCAGGCCCAGAAGGAGACCGCCATGTCTGAATGGGAATACAGGCTTCAATCAGTCTCTAATGAAAGAGACCTCCTGCAGCAGCGCATTGATGAGGTTAGTTAATGGATTATACACCCTTTTTGTCAGTGCTGTATGACAGGGCTCATACAGGATATCAAATAAAACAGTTGACAATGACCCTTCTTCCAGCCACATCAATCCACTGTAGCTATACTGAATGTTGTGAATCTAAATAAATAATTTATTATTCATGTTTTTTTTAAGGTATCAGAGGCCCAAGGTCTTGTGCAGTCTCTTCAAGATGAGATCCATGAAGAGAAGCAAAAGTTGTGTCAAGAGGAGGCACTTCATCAGCAAAGATTGGAGGAGTTAGAGCAGAAAATGAGTGTTGTGTCCCAAGAGGCAGTCAGGCTACAGCTGGAGAAGGAGGAGCACCTGTCATCTTTTGCCCTTCTGAAGGAGGAGAGAGACCAACTCAAGGCAGATCTGAAAGAGAACATTGAAATGGTGAGTATCTCTGTAAAATCAAATTCTGTAATTTGCTATATAATCTGAGAGTATAGTGTTTCTTAATGGATGTTTGTCTGTGAAGAGTTATTAACTGCAATGTAGCCTTTGCCTTGCTACCTTTTCTTGGAAATGTTCTATTGTGTTATGTTTTTTTTAATACATTGCCAGTAACATTTAATTGTCAATAAAAATGTGTGTACATCAAATAGATGGTTGAGGTCCAGGATGAACTTAGGGTAATTCAGGAGAAGAACAAAAAACAAAAGGAGTATATTCAGAAGCTGGAGGCAGCACAGACCGCCCAAATGTGTACTCCTGCTCAGCCAGAGGAACTCGAAGCACAAGTGAGACGCAGCATTTATTTATAGCCCTGCATCTAAACCTAGATGCCATGCTTGATCACAATTGTCTGAATGTCTGAACAGATGAAGACATTTAAAGACGAACTTGAGCTTGTACAAGCAGACAATGAGAGGTCTAAAGAGGAGAGGGACGAGCTTGTGTCCAGACTGAGTTCTCTCACTGAGGACCGAGATCGGCTGCAGGAGGCTCTGGACACACTTACACAGGAGAAGGAGCAGCTCCAGCAACTCCTGGACAACAGGCCAAACATGGTAACTGTGCTACTGAGTTTGTTTTTTGTTTAATCTGTAGATTGGGACATTTGTGAAGGTGCCCAGTCCTTCAGAGACATTAAGAAAACATTTTTGTGTGTTCTCAGGTTTCTTTGCAGAGTGAGCTCAATCAAGCAGAGACTCAAGAGGACATGGCTATACTTCAGCGAGAGGTACTGGCCACTTTATGTGCAGCATTTACATTTTACTGTATAAAGTACACCATTTAAGTTTAAAATAATTTACCTTGTAGAAAGAACAGCTTCAGGCTTCTCTGCAGACTGTCACTACAGAGAAGAGCCAACTGGAATACGACCTGCAACAGAAAATGCTGAAGGCAAGTTATCTATTTATCATGCTACAATCATGGAAACTGCCTGGCGATCACTGGTTGAGAGTCCATCCTCCAAATTTTGTTGTGGTTCAAGAATTGTGTGGAGCAGGCTAAATGGGACCAGTTGTGACTGTACTTATGTGCAGTGAAATGCTGATTGTTCAATTTGGTTATTTTTGTCCACTAAATTGCCACAGGGTAGTCTTGAGGAACCAAACAATACCAAAAGCCCACACTAACATCACAAATGAAGGGGCAACAAGTGCTTGATAATTACTCCTTTTGCACAGATGAATGTTCTTGAAGAGGAACTTGAGCGTGTACAAGCAGACAATGAGAGGTCTAAAGAGGAGGGGGACGAACTTGTGTCCAGACTGACTTCTCTCTCTGAGGACCGAGATCAGCTGCAGGAGGCTCTGGACACACTTACACAGGAGAAGCAGCAGTTCCTGGACAACAGGACAAATATGGTAACTATTTTTATTAGTTTACATACATTCATGATTACATTTTGTGAAGGTGCCCAGTCCAGGAAAAGTTCTTAAGAACTGCTGCATGAGTTGGCACTTGTATTAATATACTAAAATATCTGTATGGGGCAAACAAAGGGAAGTCTGGGCATCTCATACTTGGCTGGGTTGCAGAGAGCCAGTGGAAGAAAATGGATTGATAAATTGCCAACAGTTATTTATAGGTATAACTGTTTAACCTGTGTATTAACCTTTATATAATAGTCAGTGAGATAAACCTAAAAGTAACATTTTTTGGAGGTTTTAACCCCCTCTAAAACTTGGGTGTTAATGTGACAGTATTAAGTCATACATGCAAAATAGTTCTTCGTTGTCAGAACTTTAAGAGACAATGAGTTTCCCCAAGAAATATTTGAGATTTTGACATCAGTTATCTAGAATAAGATCAGGATCCACCTGCAGTCTCACAGAGGAAAAAAATGTTTTCTCAGGTTTCACTTCAAAATGAACTCAGTGAGGCAGAGACACATGAGGACATGACCAAACTTCAGCAAAAGGTACAGGGCCTCCTTTATGTGCAGTACTTACTATCAACACATCTTTTTTAACCTGATTCTATACAGCATATAATTCTGAATGCCATTTTGAATTATTTGACTTGTAGATAGAACAACATCAGGCTTCTCTGCAAACTGTCAGGGCAGAGAAGAGCCAACTGGAGAGTGACATGCAGCAGAACACACAGAAGGCAAGTTATCCCTCTTTTATTTTTATGGTCATGTAAGTCTTGCTGCATGTTTTATTTCCTCAGCCTACTTTGCAATCTACATCTTTCAAACCATCAAATCACATCAGTCTGATATCTGTGTAATCTCACAGTTGTCCAGGCAGCATCCATGTCAAAAGCAAAATTTAATTCTGTCAACTGAAAACCTTTGAAACCCAGATGAAGGAATAACATTTTTCTCTTTATCAGTCTGATACTAAGAATGCCTTGCCAATGCTCAGCTTGGTTACTTTGTTATCAGTTTTAAGCCCATTGAAATTTAATTGCATTCATCTGAACTACTCAGACTACATTTTACAGCTCCAGTAAAAGTCATTCTGACCTGTAATTTATTGTTTTTAAAGCTTGAGGAGACGCAGAGAATTGTACAGTCTTTGGAGCAGATGCTTCAGGAGCAGAATCAAAAGAACTTGGACTTGGAAAGGCAGATTCAAGACAGAGCTACTGAGCTGGAAAGACAGGTTTGTCTTGTATTTCTAATGAAAATCTATGACCCATCGGGGCTCAAGACCAAAAGATGCTGTGTTTTTATGAAGTGGGACAATTGTGAAATCTTAATTAAACATTGTTCCCCCATACAGACAATTGAACTTGAGCGTGTACAAGTAGACAGTGAGAAGTCTAAAGAGGAGAGGGACGAGCTGGTGTCCAGACTGAGTTCTTTCAATGAGGACAGAGAGCAGCTTCAGCAGGCTCTGGACTCACTTACACAAGAGAAGCAGCAGCTACAGCACCTCCTGGACAACAGGACAGACATGGTAACTGTTCTACTTTGTTTCTGTTCTACGAGTTTTATTGGTTTCATCTATAGATTATGGGGTGCCCAAGGAACTTCAGTAATTTCTACTAATGTACTGTAGGAATAGGAGGGTATACATTGTACACTATAACTGGAAACTTGAACAATCTTTATAACACAAAGAACATCTCAGGTCACTACACTTTCAAACAGTTATTTTCAATTACTGTTAACCGTGTGAATGCCTCTCTGAAGACAAGAACTAATGATGGTTAAATTGGCTTAATTCTATCTTTGTAAATCTGCAGCAGTATTTACAAAAGCTACAATCTTTTTAACGTGATGATGTACACTGTATAATTCTGAATACCATTTTGAATTATTTGACTTGTAGCTGGAACAGCTTCGGGCTTCTCTGCAGACTGTTAGTGCAGACAAGTGCCAACTGGAGCGTGACCTGCAGCAGAACCAGCAGAAGGCAAGTAGTTTTCACAAACAGCAAATTTTAGCTTTAGACTTCTGACATGCACTCATGAGTTCTCTTAAAAATATTACAGAATGGCGGCAGCTGAAGGCAATAAACATCATTAACTGACATCAGATCAAGAATTTGATAAACTTCTAACCCAATGCAACAATGTTGAATTTATAGTAGACAAACAAACCAACATTAATATACTGCAAAGAATTCTATTTTCTAAGACATTTTTGCTCAAACCAGTCCCAGTTAGTCTTCACTAACAAATCATTAAGAAATGGAAGAGGCAGCCATGTTTAAATATGGCCTGCTCTGCCTAAACCCTGTCCTTGGTTTCTCTAATCAAACCGCAGGTCTATCAAAGAGCCGAGCATCTGTTTAACAAATTTACATCTTGTGATAGGTTAAACACTTGTAAAACAAATTGCCCAATAATAACTTTAGAGACTAAGATTTCCTATAGGTTTATCAAAATTTTTCATCTCTTCATCAAAGAATGTGTTCTCCAATCAACTTGTGGACAGGTGTAGCTTCATTTTTGCATTAAGCATAGTTAAACTCAGTTAGTGGAGAACTTTGAGATGCAGGCCGTGTGAATTCTTTTGATCTTAAATCAGTATTTCCTTTGTACAGATAAAGTATCTTGAAGAGGAACTTGAGCGTGTACAAGCAGACAGTGAGAGGTCTAAAGAGGAGAGGGATGAGCTTGTGTCCAGACTGATCTCTCTCACTGAGGACCGAGAGCAGCTACAGCAAACTCTGGACACACTTACACAGGAGAAGCAGCAGTTCCTGGACTGCAGGATGGACATGGTAACTGTGCTGCTGAGTTTTATTGGTTGAATTTGTGAAGGTGCTCAGGCCTTCAAAGACATTCAGAAAAATTTTTTGTGTGTTCTCAGGTTTCTTTGCAGAGTGAGCTCAATCAGGCAGAGACCCAAAAGGACATGGCCAAACTTCAACACGAGGTGACTTATATTAATTGAAGTATTATTTATGTGCAGTTTTAGTTTTTACTAGATTGTTTTTGTTTTTGTAGCTGGATCAGCTTCGGGCTTCTCTGCAAACTGCCAGTGCAGACAAGAGCCAACTGGAGAATGACCTGCAACAGAACACGCAGAAGGTAAGGGGTCCATCTATCCTTTTAAAACCTTTTATTTGTATCCTGGCCAGCTACTCCTTTTAGCTGCAGACCTGCCAGAGGACCTTACCTTGCAGGCATTCACCTGGATGCACCTCCACCCACATGCCCTTCACCGTTTCATTAGTTTACTTTGTAAATGACTTAATTACACTTTCTATCAGCTGTTGCCTTGACCATACACCTACATAGGCTAGGGCTTAAATAGCCCTGAAATATTAGACGCAACATCTCCCTGAATGTTGGCGTAGGCTCTGTGTCTAATTAAGATTAAGCACATATCTCTAACGGTTAAGGTTAAGAAAGGGGGTTGGGCTTGTTTTTAGTGTAAAATGATGTAAACTTCTGCAATGTTATGTTGAAAACAGTGGAATTTGGTGGTCATTTGTTAAGGCCGCTTTTTGTTTACGTTTAGAGAGCTGAGGATGGAGGTTAGCCATGTAAGGATTCTCCTGGTGGAGGTCTGTGGGTTGGTCTGCAGCCATATCCCTTTCAGAAGTCCTGTAACAGTCAAAACAAAGCAGGATTGACTCTGAAGTCTGTGTTCAAGAAAAAGATTTTAGCAAGGATTCAGCAACAATACAAAGTTTTTTGTGTTTGTACAATTGGACACCACACCCATTTTTAATGTCACTAATATGCAACTTTTATATTGCCCTCTTTCTCTGATGGGTTACTACTCCTGCAAATGTTATACAAAAGGGTTAGCTTTTTATATTTCGTACAAAATAATTCAATGTTTTTGACTTTTCTCTGAAGATACAACAGTTCACAATAAGGTATTACAAATGTATATACATATCTTTTATAATAGCTTGATGAGACTCAGAGAACTCTACAGTCTTTGGAGAAGATGCTTCAGGAGCAGAATCAGAAGAATTTGGACTTGGAAAGATGGAGTCAAAACAGGGACACAGAGCTGGAGAGACAGGTTTGTGTTGTATTGTATTTCTAATGAAAATCTGTGAAACATCAGGACTTTTTTATCGGAGAATTGTGAAATCTTAAACACTGTTCCCTCATACAGACCAAGGAACTCGAGCATGTACAAGCAGACATTGAGAGGTCTAAAGAGGAGAGGGATGAGCTTGTGTCCAGACTGAGTTCTCTCACTGAAGACCGAGAGCAGCTGCAGCAGGCTCTGGACTCACTTACACAGGAGAAGCAGCAATTCCAGCACCTCCTGGACAACAGGACTAACACACTGCAACTTGAGGTTTGAACAGTTGTCACTGCAGGAGTCATTGCATGGAGGATTTTTTGTGTGGCGTATTTTTTTATTCAGATTTTTGATCAGCAGATTACTCGGCTGAATGAATCTCTGCAATTGGTCAGAGAGCAGAAGATTCATTTGGAGGAAGAGTTGCACAGTAACTTAAAGATGGTAGGAAAAAGTTTTGTGCTATGTTGCTCTGCTTCCAGAACATTAGACTATACAGTTTACATATCTCGGTCAACAGGTTTCTCAGTTAAATGCTTCTCTCCATGATGTCAAAGAGGAAAAGAGTCGTCTGGAAGACAATTTACACAACAATTTGGAATTGGTGAGAACTCACTTTGAAGCCTCAAATGCAAAACTTTTAGCTTTTAAACTGTTAAACTTATAAACTTTTTTTTTTTTTTTTTTTTTTAGACTTCACAAAAGCAGGAGCTCTTGAGATTAGTTCAGGAGGAGTTGAGTGAACAGAAAAGAATAAACCATGAGCTAGCTCAAGAGCACAGCTCATTAAACCAACAGGTGAGTGCTTCTGTAACGTGGAGCTATTAAAATAACTCTGTAGTCACTAGAGCTGTAGTTGACTAAAGACATGTCCCGCCACTCCATTAGTCGATTCTATGTATGTGTCCCGAACTACATTCAGAACACCACCTGCACAGGAGTTCATGCACAACCAATTATTAATGCAGAAAAAAGTATCAGGAAATTATGTATTTATATAAAGATGGATTAAACTAAATACCATGTTATTATATATGAATCTTTATAATCTAAAATGTTTAGTTGACTAATGCAAATTATGCTTGACAAAGACGCCATTGACTGATTAATCGACTAAAGGACTTTACCCCTAGTAGTTGCATATCAGCATCTGTCAAATATATCTGACTTCATTTTGGGGCACCAGCTTCAGAGTCTTACAGAGAGACTGCAGAGTGCGGAGGTAGATGGCTCCACAGAGGACAAGAAGGAACTTGTGTCCAGACTCAGCTCTCTCACTGAGGACAGAGAGCAGCTGCAGCAGGCTCTGGACAACAGTGTTGAAAAGGTACTAAACATTTACAAGAACCTTGCTTATTAGAACACTGTTTCCCAGCCAGGGCATGGGCAAAAGGCCCAAGGTCAAGGATGACACAAAATAAGTTGTCAATCACTATTGGCAAGCAGCGACCAAACTGAGCTGAACTTGCTATCTCTGGTGTTTTACCATCACTGTATTAACTTGTCTTTGTTGTTTTAAAAGACATTTGAAGCATTGAAAGATTACTTGTTTTAGGTGGAACTACTTACAAAGGAGTTGGAGATGTTAAAGAAGAAAGAGCCTGAAGCACAAGTTTTGCAGGTTGGAGAATGTCTCACCCTTTTTTTTTTTTTAATCGTTTTTTCTGTCTTTCTGTCTCAATGTCAATCCTTTTATGTCCAGTTACTAAGTGAAGCCAACCAGACTATTTCTAATCTAAGAGAACAGCTTAGCTCTCCACCTGAGGAGGGCCCACTGTCCCTACTCCTAGATGACTCAACTCTGCACCTTCAGGTATAACATCCCACATCATTCTCTTCTGCACAGAAATTAGCCTCATGATGCTTAAACAAGCCATTGTACATCAATTGTAGAAGTCATTTAAGAAGTTCAAGAGGTTTGCCGAAATTTGTTCAAACAATACGTCCTTGAAAGTGAAATCCAAGGTCTTCCAGACTCCATCCTGCTTTAGCTCCTTGCCTAAAAGCACCGTTGATTCTTTTCATGTGATCAATCATTTGAGTGGGCAAGCTCTTCAAAATTTGACTATCATGTCTGTAAGTATGTTTCTTTTCCATGCTTTCATTGGAGGCTATAAACCAACACAGGTGATTTTAAATGTAATCAGAATAAATTATTGTTATTCTCAGGAGAATCTGCAGAAGTATGCCCTCAGGTACCAACAGTTATTTGAAGAGCTGGTAAAGAAGGACCTAATTGTGTTTGAGGAGAGGCGTTTGCAGGATGTCCTGCTGTGCAGAGCACATGCACCAAGCTACTCCATAAAAGACATGGACTTTGTGTTGCAGTGGAAAATGAGGCTGAAGGAGGTCCTCGAAAAGAGGCAGCTGTACCTTGAGGTTTGTGTTTTCAAACTTTCATATTTTATTGCAACTGAAGGTAGTAACCTTTGATCTGACCATTTAGCCTCTCAACCTTTTCATTGGCATACACATCTGTTGTTACATTTTAGTGCATATGGCAACAGTTTTTACTCTACCTGAAATGTATGACAAAAAACAATGCCTTTATTTTGGCTCTTAAATCCCTAAACATAAACATACAGACGTTTAATACTTGCCATTTAAAGCAACACTGCATAACTTCCTGCAGGTGACATAGCACGTTTTAACACAAAAAATGTAAATCCAAACCACATGCTTTTACGGCTTTACTGACTATCAGAAATGACAGGATTTCAATATTTGTCTATTAAGTGCATAGCCCTAGTTCACAGGTTAATCATACTTTATGTCTCTGTAGAAAATGGACAGTACTTTCGATAGAATTTCAGACTTATACCGCAGTGAGCTTTCCACTGAGTTCAAAGAAAAGGAAAGGTTTGAGACAAAGCTTCAGCAGATGTGTCGTGGAGAGCCTATAGATGTCTCTGCGCTGGACTCATTCCTGGGCACTGAGCAACAGCTCCGTACCACTCTGCTTCAGAAAAGGAACAGCCTTTTTAAGGTATCTGCCTTTTTGGTAGTGTTTTCATTGTGGAAATTGGTTTGGGTGCTATTACCCACAATGGTATGATGTCAGCAGCTAATTTGAATACCGTGTGTACAGGCTGTCACAGAGGAACACAGTGGCCTACTGAAAGAGCTGACTCAGCAGGTGGCTCAGGTACAGACTCTGTTTGAAGATGAGAAGAGTAAGAGGTATACTCTGCAACATGGACTGGAGGGAGCACCTCTCAAAACACAGGCGTCTCTCATAAAAGACAATCAGAAACTGCAGGTTCAGCTACACACTGCCCAGGATCATATTCGGGTATGTCTGGCACCTTTCACCCTTTATTGAAACATAAGCAGCTGCATTTCACCAACATTCAGTCAGATGTACACAAGTTGGAAATATAATAATCTTTTTTCCAGATACTGAGCTTAGAAAAAGAGGAGCTGCAAAAGGCCCAGGTCAAAGCAGAGCATCAAGTTGCCACTCATAAAGAAGCCACTCAGCTGCTGCAGACAGAGCTGCAGGACACTTGTGCAAAACTCCAGGAGAGGGAGTGCACCATTGAAGAGCTCTACACCCGACTACAGCAGGCTGAGGCTGAGGTGAGGAGCACACAGCACTTTTACAGCATTTACTCTGAATTCATCTTTGTTCTTGTCTGACAGAGAAATTCTTCTGCTGACATTGTGAAACTGGCAAAACTTAACAATAAGATTTCCAAACTGGAAATGGAGCTCCAGTCATCATCAGAAAAGTACAAACATGAGTTGTCCATTGGTGTGGTTAGCAGTTTCATGCTTATTTCTTCAACATGCTCATTGTCTGTTTGCCTGTGTCAGTATTCAGAAGCTGACATCGCTTTTAGATGGAAAGGAGACATCACTCAGGAGGTTGAAGGAAACCCTCCGATCGCAGCAGCAGAGAGATGAATTCTGTAAGAACACAAAAATGACTAGTGACTTTTCCTTCAATCTACATTTAGTCATTTCTTTATTTTTACCAAGCAGTTGCTAATAATTCACTCATCGCTGACATAATCACAATGTCTTCAGTGTCTTCATTTTCTAAAATGTATTGCTAATTAGATTTTTCTATTTATGATGGAGGGCTGCTTTGATGTTTCCCTCCCAAATTCTCCAGCTGAAACTTAGTTATATAGTTTTGTTATGAGAAGACGTAAACATAGCGTAGCTCAATAAAATCTAAAAACATAACAATAAATAATTGGTTGTAACATTTAAATTTTAGGATATTGTACCAGAAGCAATTATGCTTTTATATATTCTAGGGTGGTCCAAAAAAATATTTTTTTTAAGATTCTCTAGATAAGAACTCTGCATTTGGTTCCATATCTGACCAAAATATTTGGGTCCAAATGTTATGCAAATTAATAAATATTTAGAAGTAGCTCGATACACTTGAAATTGCCCTATAGGGCCTATACTATAACATAGTTAACCAAATAAATAAGGTGTATTCAAATAATTTGTCATTTTATTTTGGAAACACAAACTGAGACTGGAACAAAAATTACTTAGAAAGTCCAGCTCCGTTGTGGCTTTATTGGCGTCACAAAAGATACACATGTGCTCTTTAACAACTTGCAGTAGATACCATTTCTGATTCTTTCATTCTTATTTGGCTACAGTTAAAATCTTGAATAAGCTTCATCCACCTTTCAGCAACATCATCACTGACAACTTTCCTGGAATGCAAAATATTGCACACAAAAAAAAAAAGCTAAATTTTAGCGGCCCTTCTGAAAGTCTACATCATCAGCCCAGTTTGCTGGGGGAATTGGTAAAAATGTTTTTGGCAGATCAAGAGCTTCGAAGAAACGCATCGTGCTGGTGGTGACAAAATCACTGATTTGCTTCCCTTCATAATCTGCTTGATTAAGGGCATCACATCGCTTTAGTGGTATCTCTGAACCTTCCTTTTCTATCACCATCAGCGTCTTCTGTTCTTCTGTCACACTGGAGCTGAAGAATGCCAAGCCAACCATTTCTTTATTCAAGTACCAAAAATGTCGTCTGAAATCTGTAACTGATTTCTTTTTTTACAAACTTCTTTCTAAATCATCTTTTGGATGCTAAAACCTAATGCAGGGTTCTAATGAGTGGATTTAAGTTTCCAAGTTTTCATGTACTTGTAGTCTTTTGGAAAGAGTCCCCCTTTCCAAAAGATGACTGACAGACTGTGGCTGGGTGTTTGTGTTGCAGGCCTGGAGGGAGAGGCTCTTCATGCCCGTCTGGTTCAGCCTAAAGGTGTGGCTCAAACTAGTGTGTTTGTGGAAAAGGGCAGACTCGAGGAGGAGGCGAGACAACTCAAACTGAGAATCACTGAGCTGGAGAGGTAACATCACCCAGAGCCCTTCAAATCACCAGTATTTGAATTCAGTATATCATGTATTGTATACCAAATATTGTTATAATATTAGATTTATTAATTCACAAATGTTTCATCAAACTTTTCATATAAACATACGTCTGATGTGGTTCTGCTGTTATAGCCTGGTTACCAGTCTGCAGGCTGAGGTCGGCAAGTGGAAGCACCGTGCCCTCAAGATGAGGAATGACGTTGAGACCAAATCCAATAGGGAGCTACATCCAGGAAGCCCTTCAAAACGGCCCCGGTGTGACTCTCCCAGGAAAAATCTGCGCTCCCCCCGGAAGGCCCTGGACTCTCCGGCTCTGACACTCCTCAACTCCCCCAAAAGCAGGTTCTTTGACGGTGGAAGCAGCTCAGAGTTTCTTGTTAGAAACTGTCCAAAGCAGTTCTTCGATAACTCTCGCCTTGGGACACCTCCAGGTAAGACATCGGAGCAGATGAGTGCCTTCAGCTGTAGATGTTTTCAACTGTGCCTTCTTTTTAACAGAACTATTTCATGCTCGTGACACTACAGAGGCAGAGCACGGTAAACATTAATGGGACATGAGCCAATCTCAGATAAAATCCTGTTTTTGATACATTTGGGTTTGCTCTTAGTTGGTATAGTATTAAATGATACACTATTGGATATATATGCTGACACTTGTGAATTGTGACATACTGTCACTTCTCAACTGTTAAATTTGACACTGGCTCACACAAAAATAGAACTACAAACACACACTTGGATATGTAAACAATAATTACAAACATGGGTAAATTCCATATGGTTCTGCTGTGGGTATAACTGATGTCACAGTAAAACACACCTGCTTTGTTCCACTGCATGTTGGGCTCTTTCTGTTAACCTGACCTCACAGTACTGGTTTTGGGATGAAAATCAGTCATGAGCGTAGGTAAGAAAACGAGATTATGGACAATTTGCCAGTTGATGGTGTTTTGTGCTCATGATGGAGGTGATTCCTGCTCTGCTCTTAGTTGCCATTGCCACTGTCCATCTAGTATATAATGCCCACTTTCTGTATAGTAAGCCAGTAGCTTCTCATGTACCACAGGTATAGTGGGGGTCGCTGGGAACCATACTGACCTAGAGAGGGTGTTTTGTAGGTGTGACTGGTGTGCACAGTTTGGATTTAATTACATGTTAATTCCCCCCAAATAACATCTCCTTTATTACAAATTGAACTATTTCCACTCGGATCTCCTTGTGTACAGTTATGTCTTTTGCTTTGTGATAGTGTATCTTTGTCTGGCACTTTGATTAATGAGTTTATGTTGTTCTTTTGCAGTTGCAGAAGGCGCCGCAGACGTAAAACAAGATTGGCTCCAATGGCCTATGTCTCCAAAAGAGGAAGAGATGTGCAAAAAACAATAGGACGTTGCTGCTTTTTATTTAGTATTGTTTTATCATGAAGTAAAATGTTTAAAGAAATAAAGAGGTTTTTACCCAGTAAGAAAGTGTCATCATTTCAGTGTTTTCATTTACAATATCAAATGCATTTGCTATATTCAGAGGTGCGTGGTACTTAGTTGCACTTATCTTGAGTAATTTCTTGAATCATTACTTTGTACCTGAGTTTGTTAGTAAGTTCATCCCCCAAGACAGTTGGTGGCGCTAACGCTTCTTTCGCCGACAGAATATAAACAAAGGTGACGTAATTTTCCTGCGTCCACACAGATCTTAAGGATGGCTGAAACGGAGTAAGTCCACGTTTGTTTTTTTAATCCATTACCATCCAGTGTTTCATTTGCAATTTCTGTTCATTTGCCTAGTGTAGCGCGTCTCATAATTATAGAAAAGTTTGAATCGAGCCAATTTAAGTAGTGGATGGTGTATAAAACTAGAATTTCTGATGCCAACTCGTTTCTGATCGGAGTCTAGCCTATGTCTGTAACGTGTAAACACGCGTGTTTAAAGTGTTTTTTGTTGTTTTTTTACATTACATTTTTTATAAAGCAAAATGTGTTTATCCCCACTGCTCTGTGCTCCTTCATTTTTTGGGTTGGAGGGTTATGGATAAAATTACGGCCGGGTTTTTAGATACTGGTTAGGTTAGGGCCAGGGGGAGGATGGGAGTTATGGATGTCTTTTATTTATAATTTTAAAGTTCATAAGTAATCAAATAATGTTCTTCTTTTCATCAGTAAAACACTATACGCTGGTTTCTCTTCACATCTGCAGTTTTCTTCCTTTATCACACTAGCACTAGGTACTGTATCTCGACAGTGGCCAAATAAATCCTTATCTGCCAAGTATGTTAAATAAACATAAGATTCTTGTATGTATTAGACACCTGGAAAGAAATATGATCTATCTTATTTACGGAATTATGTGGTTATTTAAAAACGTACTACAGTCGTATAACTTCCAAGAGAAACTTGCTTACATTTTATTCTGTTATGTGAATTTGTAGAATTTTATAATTCATTTAAAATAAATATGAATTAAATTTTATTTCCTACCCTATTCTAATTTATCGTAGGCACTTTGCAGCAAAACCACTTCGGTAGATTTCTTTTTTACTTATTTTGTTAATTAAGACAGGACAGTGTACATTAATCACCATTGGTTGATAAATTTACAGCTTGGTTGCATTTTATTTTTAGCCAAATGTTTTGACTTGACATGAATTATTTTGTCTGTGATGAATCTAACAGATCTCCAAAGGTCATCAAGTTGGTTCCAGAATATCTGCTGAAAAAGCGGAAAGCGTATCAGGCTATCAAAGCAACACAGGCCAAACTCGCTCTGCTAGAAAAAAGAAAGGTATGTTCTCTTTGGATTTATTTTCAGAAATATATTTTTCTTTAAATTGGAGTCAGTAAAGATTGTACTTTTAGCTATGATAAAAAAAGATGATAAACTATTTTTCGTTTCTGAAGTCATATATACTATATTTCAGTGATAGTACATACTAACAATCACCAGATACAATACAGTTGTAAATACTCCAGATTAGACCAAGGTATTAGGAACACAATACAAAACATTTAAAAAACAGAAGCAAAAAGTGAACTCATGACAAAGTTTTAATACATTTAGTAAATATAAAAATGTACAGTAGCTGTCAGTTTTGTCCATGTTGTGAAGAAGCATCTTTCCCTTTTTTGGTCTCCATTTCAGGTTTCAAAAGGCAAACCTCTGAAATTTAAGCGTTTGGAAGACTTTTTAAAAGACAGCCACAAGAAACATCGCGATGAAAGTCGTCTTCGCAGAAATGAGCACAGGCCGGCTACAGCTCTTCCACCTGCAACAAACAAGCTTGCATTTGTTGTAAGAATAAGAGAGTGAGTATCTTAGCTCATCTGCTGCATTAGGTGCAAATTTTGTATCTGTTGTTTCCATTAGTTCCATTTGTCCTGAACCTAATTCTGATGACTTTTTAGAGTTAAATGTTACATTGCTATTTGCAGCACTTTGAAAGCCGTCATGCTGATAAAATGTGCTATACAAATAAACATCTCCTGCTGTAGACTAGTTGCAATATATGATAGACAATGAAGATTTAAACAGTACTTTGTCAAATGGCTAGATTGCAGTGTTATATTAGGATATTTGAGATTGTTTCCGAGATTGTGCTACAAATAAAATGCTGTGAGAAGAACAGCCATCTGATGCACTCTGTGGTCTGCCTCGCCAGCTCTAATAGTTTGCTAATTAATAACTTTTCATTGTAGTGATGATTTAGCCAATAATGTCCACAGTTGAAGCATTTTTTATGTTTTTAATAAAGGTAAATATTTTTCCAGCAATGTCCCAGATACCACCAATAAATGTACCACTCATTATGATTTTTACAAATAAGACGGACTGTATATATTCTTTGTCAAAGTTAACCAACTATGGAATTGTTTTGCATCCTTTGCTAGGATTAAAGGAGTGAGTGCCAAGGTTATGAAGGTAATTCAGATGCTGAGATTAAGGAAGATCTTCAGTGGAACCTTCGTTAAAATTAGCAAAACTTCAACAGCCATGTTGAAGGTGGTTGAGCCGTACGTGGCATGGGGGTGAGTACCTACCAACTGTGAAACTGACAAAATATAGGAGAAGAAAATTGCCTCCAATGTCGTGCGTGCGTTTTTATATAATATATAATATATATATTGTTTTTTTTACCAGATTCCCTAACTTAAAGTCTGTTCGTGAGCTTATTCTGAAAAGGGGACAAGCAAGAATCGGCCGCAAAAGGATTCCCTTGACAGACAACGCCTTCATCGAACAACACATGGGTATGATGATAAACTCTCCCATTCATCTTTGCAATAACCATCCTATCCAAAAATTCTAGGCTCTGGCCTTGATTGCACAACAATGGTAGTCAGGTCAGAGGTTTAGCTGCAGTGAATCTTAGAAGGCCTCATCAATAAAGCAACAAAACAACTGACAAATGACCTCAAAATCTATTGTGATTATTATCAGACTAATGAGAAGGGAGCAAGAGAGGGCACAGACAATAGATTTATGGCACGCATGGATATTTTTATTCAACTAAAATCAGTATTATGCAGGTATGAAAGTGTAGTGCTAAGACACACAATTTAGGCCTATTTTATTACTGTTTCTACATTATCACTGATTTAATTGTTCTTTCAGATAAATTTGAATGTTTATAATATGTGATAAGAATTGAAGTGCGTGCTTGATCATGTCATTAAATGAATAGGATAAAAATTTGATTATTTGCACCTGTTTGATATGTTGCATCTTTAATGAAGTCAGGGTGATTTGACGCAGGTCACATTTACAAACCAGGTTTTTACTTGGGTGCATGTTACCATGGCAACTCTGTGCCATTGGAAGTATTTTATAAACTTGGATCGTGAAAACATGATAGGCCATGATTTTAATGTTTCTGACTGAAGAAGCCTTGGTTTAGGCCAGATTTTGTATTCCAAATATTTTATACAATTTGATGTTGACCTGTGTTTGGTTTTTGTGCTGTCCAGGTCACCATGGGATCATCTGTTTAGAGGACCTCATTCATGAGATCTACTCGGTTGGAAAAGGTTTTCGCGCCGCCAACAACTTCCTGCAACCATTCAAATTGTCAGTGGCGAGGCACGCTGCAAGGGACAAGGCAGGGCTCCTCAAAGACCTCGGAGCGCCTGGATTTCGCAGTGTGGACATTAACAACATCATCAGGCAGCTAAACTAAAGGCTTCTGCCAACTGGACAGTTTATTTATCCAGTTTTACCAAAAGCCATTTTTGATTTATCTAGCCGCTCTCCCATCTCCAGTTCTGGAAGTACATTTCTTTCTGAAAAATGTGTATGTATGAGAGAACGCTGTTTGAAGCTATGTGTAAAAACTGTACTATTTGTCTGTAAAATTTTTGCATTGTGAGTGTGTGACACAAATGGTTTGAAATAACAAAATAGTGACAGATCATGATGAGAGTTGTTATTACAGTTTTTCCAATGGCACATATTTCTGAACAGAATTTTCTAAACTTCCAATGCATTTCTCAACACATTAATACAAACAGCAAAAATATGTCAGTTTCAAGAGCAAATAACCTGGTAGTAAGTCATAATTATTACTTTTTTAAATTGTGACTGAATTAATCAGAAGGCCCCATCTTGTTGCAGTATTTATGTAGATGAGTATAAAATGCTTCACCAGAAATGTAAGGCTTGTGTTGAAAGACATTTGAATGTGTATTGTGCAGGACTGCCATAGGATAAAAGTATGGAACATCTGTATGACAATGGCTTTAATAATTTTGGTGGCAAAGATGACACAATAATGCCTAAATGTTTTGCCGAGTCTGACAAAAGCGACCGAGGAGCGGTACACTACCATTTGAAATGATAATGTGGCGTCAATTTAATTTAAGACATTTAATAAAATACTTTGTTTTGGTAGAGTAACTCTTGGAGCCCAGGAAGTCACAGCATTTGACATATCTTACCGGTGGTTTTTGTACTCCTCCATGAAAATTAATACTGTTATTGGGGGTATTATGTTGTGTTTATTATCACTAGGCTGAGGCTATGAGTCAGCCGCGAGGAGGGGGCGCGCCGCTCTGCCATTGGTCCAACGACTCTAACCCATCAGTGAGTGCTGTGATGCGCACTGAGCTCCACTGGCCAGAGGGTTTCGACGGCATGACGAATGAAATAGCAAAAAAATACATAAACGTGTATGTATTACGCTTATCTTAAACTGCACAGCTTTTGCTCAAGAGGCCGTGAAACGGAAAGGAGTCGTTTGAATGGCCTACTCAGCGCACGCAACATCGTGCTGATCAACCCAGCTTTAACGATGACAGCTGTGACAGTATAAAAATCCAAATTTTCAGCCTGAGGTGAGTTTATTTTAATGTACCGTATGACCTCTAAACAGGTTCAGGGGTTTATTGAACTGTGGTTGGTCAACTGGCTGTGCGTCAACTGTGCGTGTCTATTCAGTGCGCTCGTGGATATGTCGGACAATATTAGAGGCGCGCGTTTATTGTCTTCCCTGCATGTACACAACGGGGGTTAGGTCGTTACTCGTTTATAGTTTATTATAGATCCCTAAGTTCACCTGGTGGATCTCTACCTTAATAATCAACGTGCGCTATACGCATGTGCGCTCCATAGAGTGGGGTGCGTTCCACTTGTGTCTTCGTAACCTCAATTATTCGATTCTTCAGCTGTAAAGCCCACCCAGTGAGAAGTAAGAGCCAATAGGAAACAGCCTACCTTTCTTCTCTATGGCTCTTTCATCAGTGGGCGTGCTCGACAGCAGAGGAATCGAGGAGACAAGTGAATAGAGCAGGACACGCACGTTGAAGCAGCGCCATGTCTGTCAGGGAGAGTTGGTTGTAAATGCCGCTGTAGTTTGGATCCTGTAGTAGTGTATGAAAGGCACGGAGAGGTCCTGAAGAACAGAGTATTGCTAAAAGGTAATGTTAAAATGCTCATTCAGTTTTCTCTTTTTAAATGTGGGTGTCGCACAATACGTTGAAGTAATTATATTGCATGAGACAGTCAGAAAGTAGTTTATTAACCTAAAGGCACGTGCGAAGGTCAGGGTGTAAAGTTACTCACGAGGTCAATTTTTTAATTTGGGTTCCCTTCCGCCGTGATGCAAGTCCTATTCGGTTTAATAAATCCTGTCCCTGTTCCCTCTCAGCTCCCCTACACTTTAGTGAAGTCTCCCTTCATCACAGACAGTGCCCTCTCCTCAGTGATTGAACAAGAACGTCCCCGGTGCCTGTCCGTAAGCCAAGTAAGCTCGTTTATGCCCCAAGTAAAGTCGCTGTAAGGCCTCAAAGAGCCTCAAAATTTGTATTAAAATATATATAGCCTATTAATAATAATAATAATTATATATATATATATATATATATATATATATATATATATATATATATATATATATATATATATTAGTGCTGTCATGCGATTAAAAAAATTGAGAGATTAATTAATTATGATCTGTAATTAATTAATATAATTAATCTCATTTTAATCTCACCTAAAAATTGCTGAGAAAAGCCTTCAATTTGAGGTATTTTCATTTAAATTCATTATTACATTATTGTGGCAGATCAAAAGACTGATATAGAACAAAAAAAAGTGACTTTATAAAGTCATTTATTGTTTAACAAATCTCTCCAAATTGGTTGTTGGGCCCAAGTCTCCATGAATAAGAAACTGTTTGCTGTAAAGTAGCAAAGACGAGGAAATCTGAACAGAATAACTTTTGTCTAAAGACAATAAAAAGTCCAGTCTTTCCTTAACCATATTCAAAATATTATTGATAGAGAAATGCTTTCTATATGAGATCACTGGTTTTAATCCTTGTTTTAGTCCTGGTTTAGACCTGCTTTAGTCCTATTTTAGTCCTAGTTTAGTCCTGGAATGGATTAATCCTGGTTTTAGTCCTGGTGTTATTTCTGGTTTAGTGCTGGTTTAGTCCTGGTTTAGACCTGGTTTAGACCTGGTTTTAGTTCTGGTTTTAGTTCTGGTTTAGTCCTGGTTTAGTTCTGGACTGGATTAGTCCTGATTTTAGTCTTGGTGTTAGTTCTGGTTTAGAGGCTCACAGGAGGAAGCGCGGTTTACGCAGCGTACGCGAGAAAACACGATCCTCACGCGGCTCACGGGAGCACGTCGGTGTCCGCGCAGTAACTACGGAAGGAAACGTGGTCCCCGCGTTCTCAGGTTAATGACGATGATGAAGGTGTGTGTTTGTGTGTGTTTGTGTTTGTTTGTGTTTGTGTGTGTTTGTGTGCGTGTCCCCTCATGTGGCAGGTCACTATAGGACAGTAGTGCAGACATCATGAGCCTATGCAGGTTGTTTTCACCAGTGACATTTAAGTTGTAGGCGATTTTATATTTGTTATTTTGTTTTATATTTCACGTCGGGAGAATAATTTCCAAGACACGAATGTGTTTTTACCTGTGCACCTGTTCTACTGGCTTTTCGACCTCGTCAATTGTGTGACTGACGCCGCAAACGTGAACATGACGTTTACATCGCTCTTACTGCACGCGTTTTGTGTGGGTTTCCGGCAATGAGTGGAATTACCGAAATAAAAAAATGTATAAATGTGTTTTTTTGTGTGTGTGTGTGTTGTTGTTGTCCCAACAACACATAAAAACAGGTTTTATAATAAAGCAACTCGCATACAGAAACACTAAAGTTAGAGATTAAAAATGAGATTAACGCGATTAAAAAACATAACGCGCTAAATATGACTGTAATTAATTAATCGCACTTAACGCGATAATTTGACACCCCTAATATATATATATAAATGCAATAATTTCATATAACAAAATACACATTCAGATATTTTTCCAACAAATTCAGCCCTAGAATATTTCCACAAATCTCGCCAATTAAGAGTTTGCCTAAGGATAGTTTGGTAGTTTCCACTTTTGAAGCGCTAAAGGAAGAGTGATGGAGTTAGTTACACTCTTGAGAGACAAAGGGCAGAGTTCAACTCATCCAAGTAATCATTAGTCAGTTTGATTTGTCACGTGCCTGCAACAGATATGTGTTTGGGAGACTGACAAAATCAGAAACATACATTTTTGAACATACGGTTTTGAATAGAAAACACTAAAATATTCCTTAAATAGGTAAATATTGGGTGGATGACATTTAAAAGGCATGATGCCATGGGCAGTTTGATATGGTGACATTCAGATAGATAAAACTTTGTTATAACAGTTTCTAATATTAGCCTATTTAGTATTAGATATAAATAAATGTTGACCTTCAATTTAGAGTTAAAAAATACTAAATACCATAACAGCGTGTTTAGTTAAAATTTATGACTTCTGTTGACTATTACTATTGACAATAAATACACAAAAATGTAATGTTTCCAAAAATTACAGAAGGAGCCTTTATTAACACAGAGAAGACATGTCATAAGTGTGAATGCAATACTAATATATTCTTAGTTACTGTTGGTGAACAGTACTATTATTATTACTGGTATTATTATTACTAAATGATGACTGTTTCGTCATAATACACATAATAAATAATAATACACATAATAAAACACATTATTTCCATATCCCAGGAGTTTTAAGTGGGACAGAAGATTAGCTGACACAAACTGACAGTGTCCTTGACCTTGCACCTCTTAAGGCTGGTCATGTGCTGGTCATATTTGGTGAGAGCTTAGAGCTTCACTCAAACTGACATGGACAGGGCTTTATTATTGAGGGAAACCAGTTACCAGAGATGATAAAAACACAAAGGCTCATTTGGTTAAAGCAAATATTAAATGGGTATTTCTGAGAAGCTCACGTGTGTCTGTTCAGTTGTAATAATATTGTTGAAGCTCGTATGACTCCCCATGTTGAACAGTTTCTTCCACAGAAATTGTTGCTGAAGTGGACATTGTGCTGAGATACTGCACTGCTTGCTCTCCTGCCGTGCCTTGACTAAACAAAAAGTGACTGATTAAATATTAAATAAAGTTACCTCTAAATATTTATCATAATACAATAAGAAGTATAAGTTTTAATATGTTCTTTTGGAAATCTTGATTTAAACAATGGGGCCAAAAATTAAACTGCTCCACTGATCTTGGGATCATCAAAAGCATGAGCACTGATGTGATGGATCAGCAATAACCATTGGTCATGATTTGCTGTTTGTCCTCAGGTCACCTATGGGTCAGGCACTTCTGCAGATCTTGTGACCCCAAGACACCTCAGAATGGGGGATGTTGTCCAGATGCACTTTACCACAGTCGACTATGTCATCTTTGCTGTACTTCTGGTGGCCTCAGCTGGTATTGGCCTCTTCTATGCCTTCTCTGGAGGTCGTCAGCGCACAACACAGGTGAACCTCTAACTGCATAATATGAACTGAACCTTGTCCAGTCCATATTATGCAGTTTCATCTAAAGTGCCAGTGTCTAAACTCATTTAACC